ACAACGTACTACACAGTACAATCAGCCACACTCGAAACAACGGACACAGACAACAATACGCACTACAATGCAGCCGCATGCATTGAACAACCAAGACACTTAAAGACTAAAGAGATAGAAAACCTATTCAGTCCAAAGTTCTTGGAACAAAAGTCTGGATGATACTCTTCCGAGAATCACTTACTCAAAGTCCAGCATTGTTGTCGTTCCGCATCCCCCGAAGTTTCTCTTCCAGGAAACCTCGCGTCTTCACTTGGCCGCTCTCCAAGCTTCAAACTTTTTCGCCGGAAACACGTCACTTCACACTCGCAGCTGTTGCCACGCGTCTTCGCTCGATAGCGGTAGACACACACTCTTGCCTGTAGCTCGAGTCGTCGCCCCCAGGTGGAAATCCTCTTCTTCTCCTGCTTTGTCACTACGGACAAAACCTTCGCCGACTACACGGCGGAATACCCTTCGCGCTCTGGCGCTAACTTCCGTCTTCTCCTGATCCCTCATCTCGGCTGCTCGATTAAATACCTTCCGTGCGAGATTCTACAAAGTTCTCATCATTTTGTCGGCGCGATAGGCAGCGAAGGCTGGGGAGAGGGCGAGACGGTTCTAAGGCCGTCCGGGACGGATGACGCAACCCGGCATCACCCCGCCCCTTTCCATCTAGAACATTCCAGGGCTTGCTCGGGCGCCGATGAGAGGAGGTTCGTCGGCGACCCCACGCTTCTGAGGGGAGAAGGACGCGTGCCCGGGGAGTCTTTGGATGCTTGTTTTCTTTTTTTTATCGTTGACCTCGCGGCGTCTCTCCCGCGCTTTATCGCGAGAATATGGTGGCGCGCCCTTTTTGAGCGCTCGTTTTGTGACACTGCCCCCCACTTTAAGAATGTTATCTCATAATATTCAAAACCACACAAACGAGCGCGAACAGTCCCCACACTCTCAAAGACTGTAACATAGTCCGTCGCTCATGACACGTCACATTCCCAATAGATCACTCAATACAATTGTACATTGTAATTCAATCTCACAACACATGAAATATAACCACAGGTACATGAGTACAACACTCCATCACATATTCCAAACAATACAAATGTACAAAGTTCTCTCATTACAACAATTGTACAATACTATACATCACATCACAGCACAAACACTTCGACACTTGTGACACAGGATAACACAACACTAACACAACATATGGCACTCAGCAATGCCAAACACATTCTGATTCGACCTCAGCACTTATCCTGTGTACTTTTAGCGGCGCTTGCGCCCTTTCTTGCGGTGCTCGCTCGATCTCTCCTTGTTTTTCCTCGTTCTTTTTCGGCGAGCCCTTTCCAACGACGGTATCTGAAGCGGCGTCTCAGCCATCGATTTCACTTCCGACACTGTTAACAAGTGATAACGTTCAACCGATCCTGTTCGGTTATTCACCCGCTTGTTCATGTCACGACATTGGGCCTGGCTGGCCGACTCCGTCATCTTTACATTGTCGGTCAGTTGAGGTCGGGCCGACGTAAGTCCAGCTGCCCAGCACGTAAACTCATTCAATACGATCATGTTCTCATTCGCTGTCTCTTGCGCCCAGGCTTCACCTTGGGCTCGAGTGAAATCCTTCACGGGGGTTTTCTCCACTGTACCTCGCGGTCCCTGTGTCGGCGGGGGCTCCATCTTCGGGTCGTCCCCCAAACGTTCTGGATCATTCGGCCCTCGCACCCTGTCGATGTTCCCGATGACGAGGTCGTACAGGGGGGTCGTCATGCATAGAGCCGTAACCTTCCCGCTAAAGTACGGGGTTTCAACCTCAATCTCTGCTTCGGGAAGCATGCGAACCGTACTGTCAATTAGGCAAACTGGTTTCGTTGTGCCTGTTAACTCACTTTCCCGTACCAAATTTCTCCGCACGATAACCGTGGAGCTACCGGTGTCCCTTGACACCGTAATCTTCTTGCCCGCAACTTTTCCAGGCAGCGTTGGCATTCCCTTCGTAACACCGGTTGGCTGTTTTGTCATTACAGCACCCACAATAGGAAGTTTCTCCCCATTTTTCAACTCTACGAATCCGTCGGTGACGGCATCATCATCGGATTTCGGTGCTGCTAACACACAGGATATACGGTGATTTTGACTCGCTCCGTTACGACATGCATCTGCTTTGTGCCCAGTCTGACCATATTTGAGACATTTTAATACCGTAGGGCTCGTAAAGATCGTTCGACAGTTGCTTGCGCGACGACCCACTCAGTTACACAGAAAACATCGCGGAACACTCTCCGGTGCACGCTTCTTTTGTTCGAGTGCCGAATTTTTCGAATCTTCGGGACACTCCTTCTTGACTCTGGCCAAATTTGTGCCACCTTGCGCTTCCAAGAATTGATCAGCTAATTCAAGCATGTCTTCAAGTGACTTAGCTCTCCTCTCTTTGAAGTACAGCGACAGGCTTGGGTGGCAACTAGTAAGAAATTGTTCTCTAATTAGGAGCTCTCTAAGCTCATCGTACTCCTGCGCTGTCCCTGAAGGTTCAATCCATCTGTCGAAATAATGGCAAAGTCGGGCGGCATACTGCGTAGCCGTCTCACCATCAGCTGGCTTTCCTGTCCGAAATCGGTCCCGGAATTCTTCCACAGTAAATCTAAATCGCTTCAGCAAAGCAGCTTTCACCTTTGCATAGTTGGCTGCATCGGTCGGCGTCAGCCTACCGTACACACTGAGCGCTTCACCACTCAAGCAAGTACTCAAAGCAGTTGCCCATTGAGGTTCCGGCCAATTCTGGCTCCTTGCAATATCGTCTCAAATCTGTGAAGGTACGCGTCAAGGTCGTCCTTCCTTTCATCAAACGCTACGAGCAGCTTGCTTGGGTTCAAGCGGAAGCCATGATCTTCCCGTTCGCTGCTTTCAACTCTAGCTTGGACGGGAGTTTCACTTCGCTGTTGCAAACGGAACCGCTCGAGTTCCATCTCGCGCTGCCGCTGCCGTTCCCTTTCCTCTCTTTCTTCTTTCAGCTGTCGCTCCTTTGCTTCTCTTTCTTCTCTCGCCCTTTCAGCTGCCAACTTTTCTCTCTCCAGCTCCAACTTCAATCGCTGCTCTCTTTCTTCCTTGGCTCTCTCAGCTGCCAACCTCTCTCTCTCCAACCGGGCTGCTTTTTCTTCCTTGGCTCTCTTTTTCTTCTTTTTCCTTCTGGGTGACCCACTTCCATAGTTCGGCGCCAGAAAGACCCATCTCCTTACCAAGAGCGACTAACTTTTCGAGATCCATCGTGTCTCGCAAATAAAACCTTGCCGCGTGCAAAAAATATCTGCCTAAATCAGTCTGTCGGAACACTCTTCTGCACTCGTTAACGAGAACACTGAACAACACACAAAATCGTTCCGATAGCACTATCAACAACTCGAGGCTCTTTCTCACTACTTTGGACACACTGTGCACCAAAAGGGTCCTGTTGCGGACGCCAGATTAATTGTCACAGGTCCCGTTAATTCGGGAGGCGATCGCCGGGCTAATTCCAAGGGGCGAAGTATCGGCCCCTCGAACCGCACCACGAAAGCATGGACAATTTAGAAGTGGTCCTTTTTGGCGCGCCAGGGGACGCCGGCTGTGGCCCAAAGAACAAGTGAGAGCCGAGAGTTGATAAACAAAACAAAATTATATTCTCAATAATGGCAGATCAAAAACAATACACAAGTATGCACACTCCACAATAGTTGCATACAATATGTCACCAATCAAACAACGTACTACACAGTACAATCAGCCACACTCGAAACAACGGACACAGACAACAATACGCACTACAATGCAGTCGCATGCATTGAACAACCAAGACACTTAAAGACTAAAGAGATAGAAAACCTATTCAGTCCAAAGTTCTTGGAACAAAAGTCTGGATGATACTCTTCCAAGAATCACTCACTCAAAGTCCAGCATTGTTGTCGTTCCGCTGCCCCCGAAGTTTCTCTTCCAGGAAACCTCGCGTCTTCACTTGGCTGCTCTCCAAGCTTCAAACTTTTTCGCCGGAAACACGTCGGCTTCACACTCACAGCTGTTGCCACGCGTCTTCGCTCGATAGCGGTAGACACACACTCTTGCCTGTAGCTCGAGTCGTCGCCCCCAGGTGGAAATCCTCTTCTTCTCCTGCTTTGTCACTATGGACAAAACCTTCGCCGACTACACGGCGGAATACCCTACGCGCTGTGGCGCTAACTTCCGTCTTCTCCTCATCTCTCATCTCGGCTGCTCGATTAAGTACCTTCCGCGCGAGATTCCAGAAAGTTCTCATCATTTCGTCGGCGCGATAGGCAGCGAAGGCTGGGGAGAGGGCGAGACAGTTCGAAGGCCGTCCGCGACGGATGACGCAACCCGGCATCACCACGCCCCTTTCCATCTAGAACATTCCAGGGCTTGCTCGGGCGCCGATGAGAGGAGGTTCGTCGGCGACCCCACCCTTCCGAGGGGAGAAGGACGCGTGCCCGGGGAGTCTTTGGATGCTTGTTTTCTTTTTTTATCGTTGACCTTGCGGCGTCTCTCCCGCGCTTTATTGCGAGAATTTGGTGGCACGCCCTTTTTGAGCGCTCGTTTTGTGACACTATAGTAAATGAAACTCAATCAATGGAACAAGTAGTGAGGTCAACATAATGCCATAAATTAGTATGTAGTAACTGAATGTCTGTTGTAAGTGTATGCTTTGTAACGAGGTTATACTGTATACATTATTTCTGTAATATGCAATGTACATTATTTGAATTCAAATTCAAATTACTTTATAAGATCACTATTAGCAACAAACCTGAAACTTTCTATTTAGACAAGTGTTTACAAAACTACTAGGCAAGATGTCTCCAGCAACGCCCTATGTTAAAGGATTTTAATTACTGGTGCGTGTGAGCAGTGTCACTTTTCTGTGCAGTTCAAAAGCACGGAATCACTTGTAGGTCGCCCAGTGCTCCAGCTGGTTCGTGTGCCCTGTGAAGTTTCTGTGCTTTCCAGTTAGTCAAGATCTCTCTCTGCAGCCGGGCATGCACCCTGGAGAGTGCTGGGCCTTCCGGGGATCTCGGGGACACCTGGTGGTGAGGCTCGCCCAGCCCATCAGGGTGACGGCCTTCAGCGTGGAGCACATCTCGCGATTGCTGGCCGGCTCAGGCCATACGAGCAGCGCACCAAGGGAGTTCGAGATGTGGGTACGTAGCCAATGCCTGAACACTTCCGTTGACACTCTGACTTCCCACTTTCAATCAAGCCTCTTGGTAGCGAGCAAGGATGTACTATCCATAGTTTCCTATAAATGCACTAGAGGAAACTCTGGCACTGGTGTCTATGGGAGAATAGAATTCAGAGAGAGGCGGAAGAGACACGCGTGGCACAGAAACTCACTTTATCACACCAACCAATGACAAAAGAAGGTCAAAATTAAAAGCGAAAACGAAAAACTTGCGAATACATAAAATTATTCCAATCACAACTTGTACCTAGTCAAATCAACACAGACTGTTGTCATCATGACCATCAGCCTGACTATGTTTACTGCAGTACAAAGGCCTCTCCGATGTTCTGCCAGTCAACTCGGTCTTCTGCTTGCTGCTGCCACATTATACCTGCAAACTTCCTCTCATCTGCCCAACTAATTTTCCGTCTCCCCCTAACCCGCTTGCCTTCTCTGGGAATCCAGTCAGTTATCCTTAATGACCATCGGTTATCCTGCCTACGTGCTACATACCCGGCCCATGTCCATTTATTCTTCTTGACTTCAACTATGATATCCTTTATCCCGGTTGGTTCTATGATCCACTCTGCTCTCTTCTCGTCTTTTAAGGTTACACCTACCATTTCACTTTCCATCGCTCACTGCGTCGTCCTCAATTTAAGCTGAACCTTCTTATGCAAAACATACTGCAGCCCTGTCTAAATTCATCACTACCCATAGCCACTAGTACTAAGCCATTATGGTGTCTCAATAATGGTACAGTAGATTTTTAGGAAACAAAACCTAAAGGAACCGGAAAAATAAGTTCCATTTAACAGGAGTTCTGTTTACTGAGAGGTGAACATGGGTGCAGAATACATGCCCGAAACAAAACATTGCAGAGGCAATAGTTCGTTTAAGCTCTGGTTCTGTTTAACAAATTTTCGTTTACTGATAGTCTACTGTACATCCTTACAGTTCGTCGTGTTGCCATGTCGACTCGTTGCCCTTTACTCTGTCGACGCTAAGTCAAGTCCTTCGTCAATGTTCTCTGTGAGTTCCTACCGTTGAGGTCTTCTTCTGCCGATCGAGCCGCTCTTCCTCAACGCCGGTGTCCCTGTCTTCGTCGCAGTCTTCAGCTTCGATGAGCTGGGCATAGCTCGTCAGGGGCTCCCTTGCTGATGGCTCCATTTTGCTGACTGGTGTGGACTGCTTCCATCCTAGCGTGATGTGGGATAGCTGCAAGTCTACCAGGAACTTCTGGGCAAGGATGCAGCAAATTTGGGCAGCCTCACTCAGGAGCACCTCCGAGGTCGATGGCCACTTCCCACTCTTCTCACGCCGACATGCTTCAGAACTGGGCGACTATGCTTCTCCCGTCGCTATAGCGACGCTGGTTTTCCATGTCTTCGCTCAGTGCCCCACAGCACAGTGCCGGTTCTTCTCTGATTTTTCATCACAGCTCGGATCATGTGCCACAAGCCTTTTTCCGACCAATCTCGTACGTGAACGTGGCGCCTCTGCCCACCATCGAGGTCTTGCGCCCGTGCACAGCATTCCGACTTTCTGAACATGCCCTCCTACTTATGACAAGCATCCGGGATATAAGTCAACGACAACAAAAGCCCGCTGAGCTTGTGCCAGTCTGCTTAAATGGCAACAAACGCGAAAACTCGCATCTGAAAGGCGATTTGCAGACGATGTAGCGATGACCCTTTTCCTGACAGAAAAAAGTGCACTTGATGGGGACGTGGTTCGATATTCGAAGTAAAATATTTTAGTATTTGAATTCGCTTCGATTCCAAATGAACAAATAAGTGTATACAGTAAAATCTCGGTATAGCAAACTTCGGGGGAGTGCGGCAATTCGTTCATTAATTAACCATAAATACTTATTTTCCACAGACCAAAACGACTTACCTTTACACCGGTGGTTCCTTGAACTCGTTTTTCACGATAAAAAACAAATGTTCCAGTGAACATCAAGAAATGCACGCTTCCTTGAAGAAGTCTGTGTGTTGTGTTTTTTTTTTTTTTTTTTTTTTTTTTTTTTTTGGAAGTGTGCAGCACAAACTTTGCAGCACGAAGGCCTCCAGCTCATCACATTCTCCACTTTTTTCTTAGCGAAAACTCCATCCGCTTCTTCGTCGCAAGCAGAGATTGTAGTAGCACCACATCGCGGACGCCGACTTGTTTTGTGGACGCGATAAGTTATCACCAAAAAGATGAACACGACTGACAAGGCTTCTCAGAGAACATCTATACCCATTCGGCCTCTTAGATCACCAGGCAAAGATTAAAAAAAAAAAAAAACGGAAGCATCGCAGCTGTCATTGCCTCTTCCAAAGAAAGAGCTAAAAAAGAAAATTTCTTGCATTTCGTTTTTTGCTCCCTTGCTGTCTCAAGTTTTCCGTGCCCATGCTTCCTGCTCTGCAACTCCCACTCTGTCCTCTGCCTCACTGACCTTGCCTTTCCGTGTTGCCCTCACCCCTCGCCTCTGCGCTTGTAAACCTGCAGCATCGAGGTTTCAATAAAAAGAAAGAAAAGAAAGTCGTCCTTTCGTTCTTTTTTTTCCCCTCCACACTGTTTTGCCTCTTTCGAGAAGCAAGGCGTTCGTTCGCTGTGCCGTCTGCTTGGATACCGCTCTAGTGGTCGCAACGGATTTCAGAACATGAACTCGTAGTACTAATGCATTGTTAATATAATGTGGAACTAAATTAGCACTCGTTATTCTGAAAAGTTCGGTTTTCTAAAGTACATAGTAGTGAAATAATTTTACATTGAAACTATTAGCAGTTGATGTGGGATTTTTAAAAGTTTGTTAATTTGAAAAGTTTGTTAAATTAGTGTTTGTTCTACCAAGATTTTATTGTAGTAGTTTGCATGCAACTCCCTGTACGGGTGGTTTTACTGCAGTGAAGTGCTCAGCCATAGAACCACCTATCCTGGAGAAATCCGCTTTGCTGCAAAGCCTAACTTGAAATTTAAATTAACTTACATTACAGTAAAAGCTTGTTAATTCGAATTTAGCAGGAAAGCCTAATGAGTTTGAGTTAAGACGAATTCAGAGTAATGAAATTCGTTGAAAGAACAGCAAGATTGAAGACCGGGTTGTTTGAAAATCAGACAAATTATTTATTTGCGAAAATAGCCTGTGGTTACTTTCTGCTTCTTTTTTTTGAAAGTGATTGCCATAGCTTTGTTTTCTAATGCCCAAACGTGGCAGAAAGTATCCTCTTCCTCTTCCTTGAAGCTGAAAAAGAAGCGTGCGACACGCATAGCCTCCATTACCTCCGAAGCTGGCGGCCACCTCAGCGCCTCATCATCATCGTCCTCACCCACGTCGACGACGAGCGCTTCTTCGTCAGTCATCTGTGCGATGATATAGTCGTCGGTGATAGTGCCGCAGACCACTGGCCTGTGATCTGCATCAATGCAGTCGCAAGTTGACGTCCCCCAGCGCATCCCGAAGTCCGGCAGAAATGACGTTGACCTCGCGCTCGTCGAGCTCGCCAGCTGTGCTCTTAATGAATAGCCACACAAAAGCCACTGTGGCGGAAGCGATTGGCAACAGTTGTTGCCGTGCCCAGGCCCGCACCAACATATGTAAGGTCGGGAGCAGCATCACATTGTAGCCTTTTGTAGCTGCGGTGCACAACACCAAACGCTCCAACATATGGCGTCTGTAAAAGCATTTCAAGTTCCTAATGACCCCTTGGTCCATTGGTTGCAGGGCTGTCGTTGCGTTTGGTGGCAGAAACGAGAGCTTAGTCGCCTTCAAGTCCACATCAACAATGTGCGCTGAGCAGTTGACTACCAAGTGCATGCTTATGTTAGCTAATTAAATTTTGCGGTTGAGCTTTATCAGCCACTGTTTGAATATTTCCCGCGTTATCCATGCCTCGCTGTTGGCTGTATACTGTGCTGGTAGTGTGCGGATGTTCTTGAAGCAACGAGGCTTCAAGGCCTTTCCTGTCACCAGCAATGGTAGTTTTTCAGTCCCTGTCATGTTTGCTGCAACCAAGACAGAAACACGCTCTTTTCTTTTCTTCCCGCCAGCGCAGGTGTCGCCATTGAAGCTCAAAGTTTTACTCAACAGCAAATAATGCTGTTTCATCGAAATTAAATATATTGCACGGCTAATACCCTTGAAGAAGTTTTGCAAAGCACTGCTTTGCCACTTTGCGCATGTCTCGCTGTTCCCTTCTTCGCCTTCGCCAGACACGATGCGGAACACAATGTCATGCCTCTCTCGGAAACGATGTAGCCAACCCTCTGAAGCTTTAAAATCATCAATGTCAGGCGAAGCGCAAAGTTTGCTGATGTCGCCATAGCAGTAGGGCCCGCTCAGTGGGATGTTTTGGCTCCTCGTTTTCTTGATCCACGTGATCACTGCACGCTCCAATTCCGGGTGCTTCGCCGAGCAAGGCCTCTTGCGACCGCCCGTGAATGCATCAGTTGCATAGGCCTCCTCAATCGCTCTCTTATTCTTTATACATGTTGAAAGAGTACTTTTTGGGATTCCATGCTTTCTTGCGATTTCAAGCTTGCTTGTTTTGCCACCATCCACTTCATGAAGGATTTCTACCTTCTCCTTGAGCGTTTTGGTGCTCTGTCCTCTTCCGCAAGAAGTCATAATAAGTGCGGTATGCTAGGTTAAGCAGTTGAAGGCAACACCATCACAAAACCCACGGCACTGAATGACGTCGTAGCTTTGACACACACGAAGCCTAGCGACTGAATGTGCAACACACAAAGGACACGGAGAGGCGTCCAGCACGAACCACCACACGACGCGTAGAGGGCGCGCAGTCGGCGCAGTCTCGCAATGACATCACGTGGCCACGTATCCAGGCACTGGAATGGATTGAATTGCGCCTGCACTCAGCACTTGGGCCATCTAACATAGAGCCATACAAGCTTGTGGCGACAGCATAAAATTCCACAATGCAGTGGCGCGTGTGAACTAACATGTTGGTTCACCCTTTGTGAGGTCGC